TAGTACACAGTGGGTTATTATTGGCGTCCGCGCCGAAGCGCGGCGCCTTTTATGGAATGAAATCAGATTTTGTGAAAGGGCGACAGCAACTTCTCGAGCCTTTTATAGTTGTTCATAATAAAAGCCGATCATTCCGATCGGTATGAGGGTGCTTGATTGTTAATTAGTCGCGATATGTACAATGAATAGCGAACTGGAGAATTTCGCAATGCAAACATTTTCAAATGAAATAACCTTTTCCGTCAATAAATCGCGCTCTTCGGGGTATCTTTTATTTATCATTTTGTAGTACACAGTGGGTTATTATGGTATGTTATTCCGAAAGCTGTAAATAGAATGTTGAGTTTATGACCTAAACATTCCGAAAATCTATTTATAGAGGGATGTACTCCTATCGGTAATTCCCGGTCTCTCCTGGTCTATTTTGACCGGGATTTACTAGTGACCGGCGAATAGTACCACACGTTTATTGTCCGGTCTCTACCGGTTTTGGAGTAGATGTTTGATATCGTTACAGAACAGAACAAATATTTTACAGATAAATAAGCTTTTTTTCAAAATGAATGTTTGTCACTTAGTTTGGTTACAATAATTAATAAACACAGATCAACTCTCAAATTTATTGATTATTATTAAACTTAAACATACAATTCGAAAAAAAACCAACAACACAAATCGCATGTTTTATTTTATCTATATGAGATAAAAACAATAAATATGTACAATAATTGAGAAAAATATGTACATTTTTATGGCATTAATATGACACTATCAACTTTGAAACATTTTATTTAATTTGTTATTCGTGTTTAGTAAAGATGCCGAGGAATTATTCAAAGTTACAAATCAGATTTTATGAATTATTCAATTGATTGATAATTTAAAAAATGATAAAGAAAAATACAAATGTACATGTATATGGTTTAAGAATAAACAATATTATATATTGAAAGATTAACCATCATTTACTGACTTTTTCCAGTTAAGTTTTGACTTATAATCGTCGGTCAATATGACAATTGAATTCTTAAAATAGTAGTAAACGTAAAAACTCAGTATTAAAATAGCGCATAAAACACAAAAAAGAAAAGAAAACAATATTCATAAAATCTGTATTTTTTTTTATTAAAATAGATATTACAATTATTGGTTAATAAACAATTATGCTCAACATGATCAACATGGTAATATAACAAGTGTCATATTGTTACTAAGTGTGAACAGATACCTTAAGAGGGGGTCTTCGCTAATAGCGATAACATAATAAGGGACAATTACACAAGTGTGGTGTTGATCATGCGTTACACATATGGATTATAAATGATTGTATACATGTATATCCGTTGCTATTAATAACCACGATCATAAAGTAAAAACAAGTAATATTCTAATTTCTAGCATGCCAATCAAAGTTATAAATAATGAACAATGTCTTTAGTCCGTTCATTCATAAGTGATATACAATTCTGGTAAAAACCAATGAACCATTGAAAAGTTTATAAGAATATCTTGTCATCATATATCTACTAGTTCATCTTCACCTGCTGCATTTCTTGCTTGGACGCCCTTTGATGCTTTGCATCAATGCTTTTCTTGTGGTATGTTAAAATAGAATGATGAGTTGATGACCTAAACATTCCGAAAATCTATTTAAAGAGGGATGTACTCCTATCGGTAATTTCTCCTTGTCTATTTTGACCGGAATTTACTAGTGACCGGCGAATAGTACCACACGTTTATTGTCCGGTCTCTCCCGGTTTTGGAGTAGATGAGTAGATGTTTGATATCATTACAGAACAGAACAAATGTTTTACAGTTATATATGTTTTTTTTTCAAAATGAATGTTTGTCACTTAGTTTGGTTACAATAATTGATAAACACAGATCAACTCTCAAATTTATTGATTATTATTATACATGAACATACAATTCGAAAAAAAAAACCAACAACAACAACAACAATAGCATGTTTTATTTTATCTTTATGAGATAAAAACAATAAATATGTACAATAATTGAGAAAAAAGGTACATTTTTTTATGGTATTAATATGACACTATCAACTTTGAAACATTTTATTTAATTTGTTATTCGTGTTTAGTAAAGATGCCGAGGAATTATTCAAAGTTACAAGTTATATTTTATGAATTATTCAATTGATTGATAATTTAAAAACTGATAAAGAAAGATACAAATGTACATGTATATGGTTTAAGAATAAACAATATTATATATTGAAAGATTAACCATAATTTACTGACTTTTTGCAGTTAAGTTTTTACTTATAATCGTCGGTCAATATGACAATTGAATTCTTAAAATAATAGTAAAGGTAAAAACTCAGTATTAAAATAGCACATAAAACACAAAAAAGAAAAGAAAACAATATTTATAAAATCTGTAATTTTTTTTATTAAAATAGATATTACAATTATTGTATAATAAACAATTATGCTCAACATGATCAACATGGTAATGTAACCAGTGTCATATTGTTAGTAAGTGTGAGAGGGGGTCTTCGCTAATAGCGATAACATAATAAGGGACAATTACACAAGTGTGGTGTTGATCATGCATTACACATATGGATTATAAATGATAGTATACATGTATTAGCCTGGGATTCAGGCGTTGATAGTTTTTGCTTATTTATAACATTTTTTTTTCATAACATATGCGCTTAAATATTCCGTATTCGTTCGTCGTTATGATAGTGTCGATTTGCCAAACAGAAACATAACATAAAATCGACAGACTGGAACCCAGGCTATACAGGTATATCCGTTGCTATTAATAACCACGATCATAAAGAAATAACAGAACAGAACAGAACAGAACATAAGTTTATTAATAAATCGTATGCGAAAAGCATATTGATTAAACAATAATATTTTACATGCATGCATAAAAGTATGTGATGAGAGCATATACAATAATGAATCAATGTATCGAAGATAAATACAAAGCCTACATATTATCGATAGATTTGAGAGATTCGGCTTTGCTATTTCTAACTATTCATATACAATTATGATAACGAGAAATGTCAAGACATTGGTAATTGATTTCATATGACACGTATTTAATAAGTATTTTAATAACTATTTGTATTTAAAAAGAGTCTTTCTTTCTTTTCATGCTTTGAAAAAGGATAAATTTTGCCAGTCTGTATAAAAATATGCAACATCATGGGATGATAAATAAATCGAATGATTTTATCATTATTTGGCCTTTGTTCGGTAACCAATGTGGTAATAATACTGTCTTTAAACTCTTACACGCCAATCAAAAGTGTTAATAATGAACCCAATGTCTTTCGATCCGTTCATTCATAATGATTAAACAATTCTAGGTAAAAACCATTAAACTATTGAACGTTAATAATCATAATATCTACATAATTCATTCTTCACCTGCTGCATTTCTTGCTTGGTCTGCCCTTTGATGCTTTGCATCAATGCTTTTCTTGTTATGTACCATATAATTCATCTTGCAGGGCACCAGAGTTTGATACATACGGAATTTTGCATAACTAGAGTTGCATCAAAAAATCATTTATGTTTATTTTTTGATATAGCCACACTTTATCCTTGCATATCGTGGCTATTTCCTTACTAAAAAAGAATTAAAAAAAATGTTGACTCCACTGCCTGGGATTTGAACTCCAGACCTCTCACACACTAAACGAACGCGTTACCCCTGCACCACGGAGAAGTTATAAAATGTTATAAAGGCTGAATAAAATCAAGTCATTCTAAATTTAGAATTTCCATTGCATTTCGGGTTTTTAAAGCGGCACAGGCTGAATAAAATCAAGTCATTCTAAATTTAGAATTTCCATTGCATTTCGGGTTAGAGTAATTTCGAGGTATTTTGTTCAGGGTAAACCTGTTGTTTAAAATTGAAGTAAATAATTTAGCAAAAATCTTCTCGCCCAAATGCCAACATGTAGAAACTATATATTCAACTACTCGGCAGTCAGATTTATTTGTGTAGTATTCGGTAATCGACATCGCTAAAAATAGCATTTTCATTGATTAAAATCATATTCATCCGCGTAATTTGTGAGGGTGCATTTATTGACAATTGTATAAGCCAACGTTACTTTTAAAGTTTGAATGTGTAGTAATTTGTTTTACACTCGTAACAAAAAATTGTTCTTTCTTTTAAATTGCTGGGTTTTAAGCAGTTTTGAGTGAGAACTACTATGCGTTGTTAGGTCTGTTAGGAAATTTTGTGTTAGACCGTGGATGTTAGCTATGTATTTACTGATCTGCGATCAGAAAATACAAAAAGTGAGAATAAAAACTACCCAGTCTATATTTGTTCTTGAAATTTTGCATATCAACTAAAACGAAGGTAAACTTCATGAAAATAAGAAAAATTTTATTAATTTTCCTTTATTGTAAAATTTTCTGCCTTTTAATTTAACAAAAAAAGTCCAATTTTAAGGGAGATAAACTTAAAAATGAGAACGAAAGACCCCCTTTTTTCCCCTAAAATGTTTTTGTTTATAATATTCTTAAAAACATGCCAAGTTTAAAAAAAATTTTTATTGCACGTTTTTAATTTTAAACCTATTGTCAATGAAATCCCAAAAAAATCTTTAAAATTTTTTAATTTAAAAGACCCAACATTAAGCTTAAAACTGTTTAGTAAAAAGGCCCGGGTTAAAAGTAACCCCCAAAAACTTTTCATTTAAAAAATTTTCCCCTACATAAGGCCTTTTAAAAAAAATATGTCATATAAACGACCCGCTACTGTAAGCTTAATCTGTCATATAAACGGCCCGCTACATTAAGCTTAATCTGTCATAAAAAACGGCCTGCTACATTAAGCTTAATCTGTGATATAAACGGCCTGCTACATTAAGCTGAATCTGTCATGTAAACCGCCCGCTACAGTAAGCCAAATATGTCATTTAAACTTTCTGCTACAGTAAGCTGAATATGTCATATAAAGGATAGCGAAACTGTTGTCAGTATCACAAAATATTTGAAATACACAAGTCATGTACAATTTAATATAGATAAGGATTTGAAATGGTCATGATTAAAGATAAGTAATCAGTTTATAGTTGGAGATACGGACGAAATTTTCTACATATATATTAGGTAAGAATAAGTTTTGTTTATAGTAAATACCCATTCTACTATACATATTCTTGTTTCAGACTTAATGCTATATATACCATGCTTCACAAAAAATGTATTTACAAAAATATTTACACCAATAAATGGATTACACGCAGACATAACCATGTGTCTGAATTCTGGTTTCATAAACATGTCGGTTTTTTTTTGCGCCAATGAACAAAAAAAACTTAAGTATTTAAAATGTTCTATGATGTACTTGCATTATTTTTGCCTTGTTGCCAAGTTACCCACAGCTCACACACCATGTTCCAGTCATCAGAACTTTACTAAGATTTATCATAAACATGAGTGAGTGGAGAACCACACTAAATAACGTTTAATAAGTATACCGCTTAAATTACTAAATGCCAAAATCTCGCATTTTTCCCAACCAAAATGCACTTTAAAACGTCTAGTTCATCTCTTTACACCGTATGTACAGTAATGAATGAAAAATTTAAGAATCGGCACAAAAAAAAATGTATTTCTCTACTTTGTTCATATGATCGTGATTTCAGCAAGCGTCCAAAGATATCGTGATTTTTTCAAGCGTCCAAAGATATCGCTCATCCCTGCTTATCTATTTTTTACCTATTTCCCAACAGGTGACAGTAACTCAAGATTAGTATCTACTTGCAATCATCTACAGGACAATATATATGGACAATTGTAAGTAAACACCAATCGCGTGAATTATAAGTCGGGAAACGGCATTCATATGAATATGGTCCATATTATGTAAACGCCATTCATATTGATCAAATTATGTAAAATTCATATGGATTAAGAAAAAGGCATTCATAGTGATAATTTTAAGAAAACGCCAGTCATATGGACCATGTTAAGTAAAACCAATGTTTATAGGTAATTTTAAATAAACGCCATGGTATGGACCATGGTAAGTAAACGCCATTCATATGGATCATTGTAAGAAAACGCCATTCATATGGATCATTGTAAGAAAACGCCATTCCATTCATATGGACGGTGGTTAGTGACCGCCATTCATATGAACGTAAACGCCGTCCAGTTTGATCATTTTAGGTAATCGCCATTCATATCGACCATGGTAAGTTAACGACATTCACTTGGACCATGGCAAGTAAACACTAATCCATTCATAATAATTATGAACCATGGTAAGTAAATGCCATTAAATCGGGTCATTTTAAGTTATCGCCATTTTTGTGGGTGATATGAATTAAGTGCCATTCAAATGGACCATGGTAAGAAAATGTCATCCATATGGACCATGGTAAGAAAATGCCATTCCATTCATATGGACTATGGTAAGTAAACTCCATTCAAATGGGGGTCATTTTCAGTAAATTCTTTTCATATACCCATGGTTAACGACATTCAGTTGGATCATTTTAAGTAAACGCCATTCATAGGAACCATGGTAAAAGTAAACGCCATTCACATTAACCATGGAAAGTAAACGCCAGGTTCATCATCACTTAGAATATTTTAAACTTTCAACAGAGAATAATAGAGCAGAAATATGTTGTATTTTCTATTAAAGAATTCTACAGAATATTTACGAAGATCATAATAATTATGTAAATTTGGGTACACATTTTTATTCAGATAAACTTAAGGTTATTTATTTGGTCATGCTTTTACCAGAGTAGAGTATTAGACAATTACCTACAATTAAGTACAATTTAGTACAATTAACCTTTGTTATTTAACCTTTACCCTGTTAAAAATGACAATTATGATAGATATTACAAATTTCGGACATCTGTTTATATATGTAAACATTGACAATTAAATTAAAAACAATATCAGTTATAACGATGTTGACAGGCTATATGGTCCTATATAAACAGTTGTTTGGAAATATAACACGAGTCGCTAGACAGATAAAGGGTTTTATACGGTCATATAACCTGTCAGGAATATTTTATAACGTATTTATAATACAACAAACTTCTTTTATTTATTTATTTTTATTATTTGAGTAAAAAATGAGATTTCTTAGAATATTGACAGCAGCCGTGTATATAAAACTGTATAAACATCACGATTATCCAATGAAAAGCGACGTTACTAACCTGCAGTATTATAAAAAGCTATATAAATGCCCCGATTATTCAATAAAAATCGACGTTACAAACGTGCAGTATTATAAAAGACCATGTAGAAAAACCAAGATCATTTTTCAGCTTCAATCTACAGTTGCCTGGGACTGGTGTTGTCTATAACAACAATTGAGGCCCTTCTATGTATGTCATGTGACAACGTGGCCGACCCAAGGTTGTGTAGTCGGCTTTTGACATGCAGTTCTAATGAGGTATACTGATTTATTTACTGACATAGAATGGGGACAGAACCTAAATGTTTAGAATGGAGAAGGTGTTTACATTTGTAGAATGACGGAGAACTAACATTTGTAGAATAGTCCCACAACTATAATTTGTAGTACTAAATTTTATAAAATGGTGGCAAAACTAACTATTGTAGAAAGGTGGATAAGCATACAATTGTAGAAAGATGACAGAACTTGAATAAAAAAGATTTTAGAATAATATTTGTAGAATGTTGACAGAACTAACATTTGTAGAATGGTGACAGAACTAACATTTGTAGAATGGTGACAGAACTAACATTTGTAGAATGGTGACAGAACTAACATTTGTAGAATGGTGACAGAATTAACATTTGTAGAATGGTGACAGAACTAACATTTGTAGAATGGTGACAGAACTAACATTTGTAGAATGTTGACAGAACTAACATTTGTAGAATGGTGACAGAACTAACATTTGTAGAATGGTGACAGAACCAACATTTGTAGAATGGTGACAGAACTAACATTTGTAGAATGGTGACAGAACTAATATTTGTAGAATGTTGACAGAACCAACATTTGTAGAATGTCGACAGAACCAACATTTGTAGAATGGTGACAGAACCAACATTTGTAGAATGGTGACAGAACTAACATTTGTAGAATGTCGACAGAACTAACATTTGTAGAATGTCGACAGAACCAACATTTGTAGAATGGTGACAGAACTAATATTTGTAGAATGTCGACAGAACCAACATTTGTAGAATGGTGACAGAACCAACATTTGTAGAATGGTGACAGAACCAACATTTGTAGAATGGTGACAGAACTAACATTTGTAGAATGTCGACAGAACTAACATTTGTAGAATGGTGACAGAACTAAACTTTATAGAATGATTGCAAACCTAACATTTGTAGAAAGATGACACAACTAAGATTTGTAGAATGGTCACAGATCTAACATTTGTACAGATCTTTCATTGGTAGAATTGTTTCAGAACTGACATTTGTAGAATGGTTATAAAACTAATATTTGTAGAATGTGTCAGAACTAACATTTGTAGAAAGCATCTCGGCTATTTTTCAAAATAAGTCCGAATTTAATACAGATTAAATGTAGTTCTACCTTATGGTTTTTAGATGTAAAAATCAAGAAAAATATAAATGTATATTTTTGAAATCCAAGAGAAAATAAAGTCTATTTTCTTATATATGTCTGACAATCATTATCAATTTAAAAATGCCCATTGATGTAGAATTAGAAATAGATCCGAATAAATGTAAGCCGGTCGACATTGTGTGCTTTCGGAATTTCCAACCATAATAATAAGTATATGAATGATATGTACTGTAATGTTTACTCTTATATCGATATATATTACTTAATTTAGATGGCTTTTAACCCGATATATTGAATTAACTAATAAGTTAACAAGTGCAATTCCAAACATTTTAAAACTATTGCTTTCGAGGTTATATCCGAAGACTGACAGAAATGACCGAAAAGATGCGATTGTTATTTCAGTGATTTTCTTTGCAGATGTGTTATGTTCAACATAAACTTGGGACGAATGGTAATCAATTCTACAAACTCGGCTGTGTTGATAGAAATGTAAGTAGAATTTATCTCGGGAAAAACAAACAAACAAACGTAATTCTAACAAACAAAATATGTAGACACGATTTCATGAAACATTTTCAAGATGTACCAGTGCAATGACTAGGGAAACTCGTACACGTCCTAATAAAGCATTATGGGTAAAACTAATCTCGAGAAAAGTCATTCTTTAAATGCACAGGTAACTCGAATGTGAAGCCGAATGCCTACAGATAAGCTAACATATATTTCAGGAAAATCAACCCTAGAATGAATACTGTATGCAGATTTTATGAAAAGAAATATATCCACAATTTAAGAAATGTTTCGACTTGTTATATGCAATGAATGACTGATTTTGCAAAATAGCACAATATTTCTACTGCATGAGTAACGCAGTAAGTGCTTAGTTTGCATATTCTGAACTATTTTTTTTTTTTTGGCAATTGACGTAGATTGTAAGTGTGATTTGCAATGTGTAAAAAACTTTCTTGGTGTATTAGACAATAATTGACATTTTATACATTTTAAAAATAATCTAAAAATAAGCATATATCAAGAGGCAAATTGCTTTGAACTCAGGTTAATCTTTCTGGTGTACGTTCTGTCATTTGAGTTTCTTTTGTAGGTCATACTGATAAATCTATGATACATGTATACGAGTTTAGTTGTTGTTTTTATATATCTTAAATGCCAGATGACTTTCTAGTTCCCCTAACTAAACTAAATGGGTCACAGGAAATTATTGAGATGTAGATTAAGATGGCTGTCCTGCAATTTTCGTTTGTTTTGTTTGGTTTAATAGCTCACAACACAATATACTAATAGGTCATATGGCGCTGAAACAGAAAAAAAAAGATTTTGACTAACCCAGGGCGTTTAAAAAATTTAGCAACACCAGTGGTCAAAAGCACCTCACCTGTTGGAGATAAAAGGTTCATAAACTCCAATAATTTGAACCATTTTAGTCGCCTCCTAAGAGTTCGCAATGTTATACTTATACTCCAACCCTTAACCTTAAAGGCACATTATGCCTCAGAATCATTTTTTGTTTACAGCTTTAGCCCTTTAGCTGCCAGAGGGTTATTGTTTTATTGATCACCTATTTGCCAGAGGATTTTCTAAGAAATTACTATATTATTAATTAATATAATTATTACTATTTGTTATTAGTATTATATTAATTATATATGTTTCCAAATCTGTGAGTATAATAATAATTATTGTCGATGGTATAATTTTCTTAATATTTAATATTAGTTTTATTAATATTATTATTATCATATCATTACTATTATTATTATAGAAACGGCTAAAGCCGTCCATATGGCAAATACACCAAAAATAATAGGGACGGCATAAGCCATCCCTATGACAATGAAAGGGCTAAAAAGGGCAAACATGAATTTTATAGCATTTATGTAATGGTTTAAGCTTACGTAAGATGCCTGAAACCTGAGAAAAGTAACAATAAACGGAAAATAATTAATCATAAACGTAGCAAAATGTGAACAATGTAGTATTTTGACTTCCTTTCAAAATATTCAATCACTATATCTGTACTTATTACTAAATAGACAACAGATGGGAAAGATGGTTGAGGTAATTGCCAAATGAAATACTCGCACTCTTTGGAAATTTATCAAATAAAAGCATACCAAAAATAGAAAAAAAAACTTTCTAGAAATAATAATGAAAGCATTGTTGAGGCATAATGGGCCATTAACATCCTGACAGTGAATGTATATATCCATACATCGAGTGCATATCAAGATCAGAAGGCAAATTTTAGTCGGCTGACCATGGTCTGCAATGTTTAGTTATCAGTCAATTCATCTTAAAATGAATGGTTTCGTCCAGATTGAAAATTGAAAAGTCCATTTAAAATATTTAGCATTGTACTCGTAAGTGTTAAATGCAACCACTCAGTCACAAGGGGGCTCTGCAATTGCCTCTGGCAATAATAATTGTTTTTCTGTTGCATGTTGGCTTTTAACAATATAATCTGGTAAGGAGGTCCCCAATGCGGGGACACGATTATAACTACATATCATGTATATTGTTATGATATTGTGCTTCGTAAGTGTATCACCTAAGTGTGAGCCATATGAGCGAATGAATATGTTATGATTCAATATTAACCATTAAAAGGTCTGCCTCGGAAGCCAGACTTCTGTGATTCCTGTTGGCAGAAGAAACACATATAATAGTTCATCTGGCCTAATCGATTCAAATGAAATACAGTCAAGTGGAAAAATGACACGTGCATCGAATGATGGTTTTCATCTATGCACACAGTGTTGTGATAAAGCGGATGGTTGCAACAAAGATCTTTGCACCTCACGTAAGACAATATGCTTTTTCTAAACCATGTTTATTAAAATGATATTTGCTGAATTTATGATAAGATAAAAGTAACGAGTTGTTTCTTTCTTCATTTCAAGTAAAGGTACGAAATCCCTCATCATGTTAAATTCATTTTGTTTGCCTCTACCAGTATTTCAAAATAACGTTTAACTATAGATCAGACAATTTCTCTTTAATGTTTCCTCAGTAATGTCCAACCATATATCAGAGTATTTCTCGGTAGTGTCCGACCAAATATCAGAGTTTCTCTCAGTAATGTTAAACCATATATCAGAGTATTTCTCAGTAATGTTTTACTATATATTAAAGTATTTCTCGGTAGTGTCCAACCACATATCAGAGTATTTCTCAGTTATGTTTTACTATATATCAGAGTATTTCTCAGTAATGTTTTACTATATATCAGAGTATTTCTCAGTAATGTCCAACCATATATCAGAGTATTTCTCAGTAATGTCCAACCATATATCAGAGTATTTCTCAGTAATGTTTTACTATATAACAGAGTATTTCTTAGTAATGCTTCACTATATAACATAGTATTTCTCAGTAATGTGCAACCATATATCAGAGTATTTCTCAGTAATGTCCAACCATATATCAGAGTATTTCTCAGTAATGTTTTACCATATATCAGAGTTTTTCTTGGTTATGTTTTACTATACATCAGAGTTTTTCTCAGTAATGTCCAACCATATATCAGAGTATTTCTTAGTAATGTGCAACCATATATCAGAGTATTTCTCAGTAATGTGCAACCATATATCAGAGTAGTTCTCAGTAATGTGCAACCATATATCAGAGAATTTCTCAGTAATGTTTTACTATATAACAGAGTATTTCTTAGTAATGCTTCACTATATAACAGAGTATTTCTCAGTAATGTTCAACCATATATCAGAGTATTCCTCAGTAATGTCCAACCATATATATCAGAGTATTTCTCAGTAATGTTTTACTACATATCAGAGTTTTTCTTGGTTATGTTTAACTATATATCAGAGTTTTTCTCAGTAATGTCCAACCATATATCAGAGTATTTCTCAGTAATGTCCAACCATATATCAGAGTATTTCTCAGTAATGTTTTACTATATAACAGAGTATTTCTTAGAAATGCTTCACTATATAACAGAGTATTTCTCGGTAATGTGCAACCATATATCAGAGTATTTCTCAGTAATGTCCAACCATATATCAGAGAATTTCTCAGTAATGTGCAACCATATATCAGAGTATTTTTCAGTAATGTGCAACCATATATCAGAGTATTTCTCGGTAATGTCCAACCATATTTCAGAGAATTTCTCAGTAATGTTTTACTATATAACAGAGTATTTCTTAGTATTGTTTCACTATATATCAGAGTATTTCTCAGTAATGTGCAACCATATATCAGAGTATTTCTCAGTAATGTCCAACCATATATCAGAGAATTTCTCAGTAATGTGCAACCATATATCAGAGTATTTCTCAGTAATGTGCAACCATATATCAGAGTATTTCTCAGTAATGTTTTACTATATTACAGAGTATTTCTTAGTAATGCTTCACTATATAACAGAGTATTTCTTAGTAATGTTCAACCATATATCAGAGTATTTCTCAGTAATGACCAACCATATTTCAGAGAATTTTTCAGTAATGTGCAACCATATATCAGAGTATTTCTCAGTAATGTCCAACCATATATCAGAGTATTTCTCAGTAATGTCCAACCATATATCAGAGTATTTCTCAGTAATGTCCAACCATATATCAGAGTATTTCTCAGTAATGTTCTACTATGTAACAAAGTATTTCTGTATTTCTCAGAAATGTTTTACTATATATCAGAGTATTTCTTAGTAATGTTCAACCATATATCAGAGTATTTCTCAGTAATGTGCAACCATATATCAGAGTATTTCTCAGTAATGTGCAACCATATATCAGAGTATTTCTAAGTAATGTCCAACCACATATCAGAGTATTTCTCAGTAATGTTTTACTACATAACAGAGTATTTTACATTAAAATTTTACGATATATCAGAGTATTTCTCAGTTATGTTTCACTATATATTAAAGTATTTCTCTGTAGTGTCCAACCATATATCAGATTATTTCTCAGTAATGTTTTACTATATATAAGAGTATTTCTTAGTAATGTTTCACTATATATCAGAGTATTTCTCAGTAATGTCCAACCATATATCAGAGTATTTCTCAGTAATGTCCAACCATTAATCAGAGTATTTCTCAGTAATGTCCAACCATATATCAGAGTATTTCTCAGTAATGTTTTACTACATAACAGAGTATTTCACAGTAATGTTTTACTATATATCAGAGTATTTCTCAGTAATGTTTCACTATATATTATCAGAGTATTTCTCAGTAATGTGCAACCATATATCAGAGTATTTCTCAGTAATGTCCAACCATATATTAGAGTATTTTTCAGTAATGTCCAACCATATATCAGAGTATGTCTCAGTAATGTCCAATCATATATCAGAGTATTTCTCAGTAATGTCCAACCATATATCAGAGTATTTCTCAGTTCTGTTTTACTATATAACAGTGTATTTCTCAGTAATGTTTTACTGTATATCAGAGTATTTTTTAGTAATGTTTCACTATATATCAGAGTTTTTCTCAGTAATGTCCAACCATATACTAGATTATTTCTCAGTAATGTCCAACCATATATCAGAGTATTACTCAGTAATGTCCAACCATATATCAGAGTATTTCTCAGTAATATCCAACCATATATCAGAGTATTACTCAGTAATGTGCAACCATATATCAGAGTATTTCTCAGTAATGTCCAACCATATATCAGAGTATTTCTCAGTAATGTCCAACCATATATCAGAGTATTTCTCAGTATTGTTTTACTACATAACAGAGTATTTCTCAGTTATGTTTTACTATATAACAGAGTATTTCTGGGTTATGTTTTTTTATATATCAGAGTATTTCTCAGTAATGTGCAACCATATATCAGAGTATTTCTCAGTATTGTTTTACGACATAAAAGAGTATTTGTCAGTAATGTTTTACTATATATCAAATTATTTCTCAAGATTGTTTTACTATATAACAGAGTATTACTCAGTAATGTTTTACTATTTAACAGAGTATTACTTAGTAATGTTTTACTATATATCAGAGTATTTCTCAGTAATTTTTACTATATATCAGAGTATTTCTCAGTAATGTCCGACCATTTATCAGAGTATTTCTCAGTAATTTAACTGTATGTTTTTATTTTGCTAATACACAGAGAAAAACATAATTGGACAGACACAAAATTAAAATAGTGAATTACAGACAAGAAATGATAAGGTACATTTTTTTAGATCCAGCAACAAATCTAAGATGTCTGTCCTGTGCAGGTGAGAACGATCCAAAAAATTGTCAACAAATAAAAGAATGTGGTAGGGATCAGGTGGGTACAAAACAAAATACGAGTATATAAAAATTAAGGATTGTTTCTTGTACAATAGCAAATATAGCGTGCCACAGTACAGATGTATCGTCAATGTTGTTGTTGTATTTAGGTTTATTTATACTCAGCGCCGGAATAACCATATGTCCGAGATTATAGCATCCTTGCCGGTCCACTACGGTAGTCACATCGCTGATGTCGTTTTCAAGCAGAATCTTCCTGGTACCCTATTATTCTTTCGTTGGTGGTAAAGGAGAAGACAATACTGCCAAGGCATCAACTTCCTGACTGACGACAACAAAAATGGCCTTCGTTAGCGCCAACCCTCCAGAGTTAGTCACGACAGGTCAACCAATCACCTCCGGTACTTAAGATGACTTGATCTTGACCTGCCGTGTGCCTTCTCCGCGACGTGCACGCCTCTGCAGGGATTTGGAGAAGTGTATCGTCAAATCATGAGATTCATTACCTTATAGCTTTGAAGGAGTACATTTGGCACGGATCACGATTGTCACAAGTGTGATAAATGCGACTGAAAATTGACATCAAATATGATAAACAAGATAATCAAGGAAAGGCAGCCACTGCCGACCCAGTAACAAGAGCCAGTGGCAAGGAGCCCAGGAGGACCCCAAACAAAAACAGGAAAGGGCACAAGGCAGAGTACGGGCAGGCAAACCACTACCTAAGAATAAATAATTAGAAACTGAAAAGGAACTAAAAGAAAACAAATAAATGATTGAACACTAGGCACATAAAGTCAAAAGGCACAGGGGAAGGGGACACGAGACCCGGGGAGGGGGGATAAATAGAAAAAATAAAAACTAGGGGCAAAGGGGAAGATACTTACCGTAGACGAGAAAACAACAAGAGACACAAAAGTGTCACGAAACAGTATAAAAACAAGAATGACAAACATCTGAGGAACACAGAGGGGCTCCGCCTTGGAACGGTCAGCAGCATAAATACTGCTGGGGAGTTTAAACCGGTTAATGGTGCACTAAACCTCACTCTTAGCCCCACCATGTTCCTATAAACGAGACAATGTAAATAAAATGAATCCCCGTCAAGTGAAATTCTAACAGTTGTCATGGTTACATAAGGTGAAATAAGTAAAACATCGAAATGCTCCTGTAGAAACATACAAAAGAAAATCCAATGACCATAACAAAAGTACTCAATGTCATAAAGGAAGACATAGCAACAAGAAGATCACCTACAAGGGCCCGACCAAGCAAGACAGAAGCCGAACATTAAGGCACTTCTGTCCCAAAACGCATTAAAAACTGCCCATCATAGAGTCTCCAACTTCAGGTCACAGCTTTGACATTTGTGATCATACTTGTCACATTACACTTCTACACTATTCCTCACACCTACGGTGAAGTTTGTTTCCAGATTGAGTCATAGAATCACATTTGTGATAATTATCCTTTTTATCCCCTGCCGAAAGGCGGCGGGTGATATAGAAATAGTCTCCGTCCGTCCTTCTGTTCGTCATCCGTCCGTCCGTCCTTCCGTCCGGCATTTTGTCCGGAGCATATCTCAAAAAGTATTTGATGTATCAACTTCGAACTTCATATGTGGATAGAACTCATTGAGGAGGAGTGCAGTGCACAAAAATGATAACTCTATCCTGCATAATTTGTGAGTTGTTGTCCTTTGTTATTTTTCAAAAATAATTTTTTCCAGACCGTAACTCAAAAAGCCTTTGAGATATCAACATGAAACTTCATAGGTGCATAGATCTCACTCAGAAGGTGTGCAGTGCACAAGAATTATAACTCTATCTTCATTATTTTTTAGTTATTGCCCTTCGTTTTTTTTTCATACATGTACTTCATTTTTCACCTGAGTGGGGCATAACTCAAAAAGTGTTTGAGATGTCAATATGAAATGTCAAAGGTGGATAGATCTTATTGAGAAGGAATGCTGTGCGCAAGAATGATAACTCTTCCCTATATAATTTTTGAGTTAGTTCTTTTTCATACTATTTTGTCCGGAGCTTATCTCAAAAGTATTTGAGGTATCAACTTTAAACTTCATATGTCGATGGATCTCATTGAGCATAAAAGAAATAACTCTACCCTGCATATTTTTTAAGTTATTGTCCTTTGTTATTTTTAAGCTTATCTTAAAAGTATTTGAGGTATCAACTTGAAACCTCATAGGTGGATAGATTTTACTGAAGAGGGTGCAGCACACAAGAATGATATCCTACCCTGCATTATTTTTCAGTTATTGCCCTTTGTTATTTTCAGCCATCAGTATTCACATAGATTTCGAATCTGTTATCACTTCAGCCATCAGTTTTCATTACCAAAAGACCTCTTAAAATTGAATTATTCTGCTCTACTACATATACATTCTTCCAATGAGCAAACGCATTCGGCGGGGGATGGCCATGTTGACATGGCTCTTGTTACATTTGGATACAAACAATGATATTTGATAATGTAGTTACATGGAGATAATGGGCCAGCGGAAAAGGGGTAGAGAGTGTTACAACCCGGCTTTTCTATAGTCCTCAAGGTCGGAGAATTATCATCATCTGTTCTTTTTATAGTTAGTCATACTTATATGAGACAAATGTTCAGAGAAACAGTTTATCAAAATGTGGACAGGTGCCAAATGTACTTCTATAAACGCATGGTAATGTTATATATTTGTAGTTTTGTCTTTTGTTTGACAGTCATCCTTATTAATTACAGTTCAATGTTGATATTTGAAATCGTGTTATGTAATTTATTTAACTATCACTTACATTTTGCTATTATGACACGAAGTTATATAACTATCAAAAATATTTTGTTATCATGACACGTTTAACTATCATAAATATTTTGAAATTATGACACAAAATGATTTAAATATATAATCAACAATTATTTAAATTTTGCTACTAAGATACATTGTTATTTAACTTACATAAGAATTTGTTATTTTGACGTATAGGTAAAACTGAAAAAAAAAATTTTTAATTTTCTTTTTACACAATTTTACTTTTTTTTTCAAACGATTATTTTACTTATGTGACAAATGATATTTTAACATCATTTTAATATAAATGATAAAGACACTATGGTACTGAAATCTGAATTGATCAGCTATTTTTCATTTCACTTTTTCAGTTTTGTTATGTACACAAGGGACTAAATCCGAACATTGCCACTTACAGCGTTCAGTATGACTTTGGATGTATGGGGTCCTTGGTAATAATTAAATACAAAATTAAATTCAATAAAAATGCCTTATGACAGCGTTCTATTTCATATTGAAATTAATGGACAAAACAGAGTTGGTAAATTCAAACTGTAATTGTAGGTTTTGGCACAAAGTTTATTTTTGATGTCGATAAAATTTATAAAAATATTCGGGAAACAACTTCGGTTAAAGGCAAATTTAGTCACAGAAATGAATATTGTTTCCCATTCTTTATTAAGGGCAACATATTACGTCTATAACGTTTTAATAACGCTTTTATAGGATGTACATGATTTAAGATACTTATAACCCGAAGAAAGTAGTGCTGAATGTGAAATTGTCTGTTCTAAAGTAGCAAAATGCAAACAAAGAAGTATTTTGTCTTCCTTACAAAATGCTTAATCAATGTATTTTTACTAATTGCCATAGAAAAGAAGCAAAAGATGGTTCAAGCAATAAACCACTGAGTAACTGTGTGGAAACTAAAAGAAGACACAAATAATAAAAAGATTTTAGAAAATTAAAGTAATAATAAAAAAACATTTTTGGGGCATAATGGGCCTTTAAAATGAAAGACAAAAAACGCGTATCAGTTCACAATACATCACTTTCCCTAAAAGTCTTCTATTGAATTATAGTATGTTCTATCTTCAGCAATGTCGAGCATTCAAGAATGTGTTCTCATCTTCGTGTGTAGCTTGTTGTAATGACACTGACCTTTGTAATTATGATGCCTGTGATCACTGGTCACGTATGTATCAGTTGTTGTCATTGTTGTTGTTGTTGTTGTTTTGTCGCCTCTACAGAAAAGTGGTGACATAAAGGGATCACTTCTCCGTTGTATTTCTATCCGTGATAAAACTTGTCCGGACTACTCCTACGAAACTATTGGTGCACTTTCGTCCAAGCTTTACATGAATGATCAGTACTAAGTCTCGTATCATATCATCGGCACTTTTGGTTCAACGATTTTTGTCTGAGTTATGGCACTTCAATGAATTTAATTTTGAATCTTGTGCGGACTATTTGTCTTATACCACTTACACAGGTTTGTATCTCAAAATTGAGCATCAGTAAAAAATATATGTGAACTTTCTCTGCTCCAGATGTGAGCTTTAACTCGATATGTGAAGAAGAAAAAAGGTCAATCACAGGACAATTTTTCAGCATTAAAAACATTTATATAAAATTCAAAGCTTTTCTTTTTTTTTCAAGAAAATCGAAATGTGATTCTACCCTCCTAGCCTTTTTTTCCTTGACATATTGAGTGAAAGCTCACATTTGGAGCAGCGGAGATTCACATATATGTTTTACTGATGCTCAATTTGGAGATCCATATGGGGTTCCACCCCCGTGACTAATGCAATTTCAATGAAACTTTTCAGGATTGATTTGTAGCTCAAGTACTCGCGCGCACATTACACGGGTTTTCCGGATAGATGATCTAGGGCTTAGTTATTGCCCTTCAATAAACAGGTATTTTTAGAGTTGCCAGCTACACAGAATCTTGTCCGGACTACAACAGAAAGTACTTGTGCAATTTAATCTAAACTTTACAAGAATGATCAGTACCAAATCTTGTTGTGAACATCGTCGGCATTTTTTCGTTTATTGTTGTTTTTTCAGTGTAATGGCCCATTTGTGTTTTTCTTTTATTTTTAAATTCTGTCCGGACTACCTTTCTTATACCACTAATGCAATTTCAATGAAACATTACATTACTGATCCGCAGCTCATTTACTTGCACATGCTACAATGATTTGTTCGGTTGAATGATTTTGGCCTGAGTTATGGTCCTTATAATGCCTGTTAATGATTTAGTGTCTCCTGCTACACAATAGCTCAATAGCTGCGACAAACAATAGGCTATTATGAGACTGTACATGTTATTTATATGTTATCGTCACATTCTAAATACCTGGCTTATAGTTCCGTTACCATTATAAATATGTATATCTTTAACAAAACAGTTTCATTGTCTAACCATGCATGCTCTAAGAAAAACATTTATTCAGAAATGCGGGATGGACGCCCCACGTATTACATTATGTTTCATTACATATAAGTATATAGAGGATATTTAATTAGCACAGATTCAGTGTTTAATTTATTGAAAAAGTTGAAAAAAAAAGAAACGAAGTTAGCTTACGTCGATTGATGAAACTGGAGAGTTCAATACGGCGTTTAGATAACATAAAAATTCGAAAAAATAGACATGTTGATTTAACCTCTTTAGTTAAAATGATGTTCACTTTTTTAAATGTACTGCAATGCCATGTCGTTTTACGGAGTCGGTAAAGCCGTCTTCATCTGAATATATATCAGCCCCGTCACGACAAAACCAATGCAATGCGTTTGCGGCCAGCATGGATCTTGACCAGCCTGCGCTTCCGCGCAGTCTGATCAATATCCATGCTGTTCGCTATCAGTTTCTCTACTTGTAATAGAGTTTGTAAGCGAACATCAGTGTTCCTGATCAGACTGCGCTGATGGGCAGGCTGGTCTGGATCCATGCTGGTCGCAAGCCCACTATGTTGGTTTTGTCGTGACACGGCTCATATGTAACATATTGAATACTTGCAGCAAATACTCCGGGAGCAGCTAAACTCGTAACATCATCGGCGCCACGAACGACGGTGCCGAAACTTGACGTACATATAAATGGACCCGATAAAGGTCACTTCTTGAAGGAAACACAGTTTGCTTGTGTCACAAACCCTGCTGCTGATTCATATAGGTGGAAATTCAACGGGGTAAATAAAATAACGCACCATGTGTAATGACTTTGTTTATTTAATATCCCCGGTAATTCAATATGTCTTACAGGTTTTGGATATAAAAGTATTAAAGTCTTCATCAACATTATTTACAGCTTAAACTGCATTCATTGCGTAATTTATTAATAAAAACTCCATAGACCGTAAGACATTTTATTATTGACTATGTATTTTGGTACGACTGTTACATTCCATGCAGACTTTCTATGAAACTTGCGCGGAATCTGAGCTACTAGTAACTCACTAAGAGTGGCCGAGTGGTTAACGCATCGGACTAGTAATCTAAGGATTGTTGTCCGAGTGGGTTCAAACCGTCTGTGGCATGCCGTTGTTTCCTTGAGCAAGAAACTAGACATTTATTGCTTAATACTGGTGTTCAAGAAACGGATTCGAGAGTGTTTCAATAAGCTTATAACACAATCGACCTAAAAATAAATTTGTATAAATTAAAACTAAATTAACTTACGCAGGTTTATTTTTTTTCTCGTGCAGACATTTTCTATGCCGATGGGTGTTACCGAGCAGCTTATATCTGGACAAACGGGAGGAGGGTCTGGTTTAGATATTCTACATATTAAAAACTTGACAGAGTCAACATTTGGAACGTACACATGTGCGGCAACACTCAACGGATATACAGCAGAACAATCTCATTTTATCGGAATACTTGCAGGTAATGTTACAATAAAATAAAACAACAAAATCCTCACATAACGGTGAACCCGTATACAGTTGGATTAAACCAAATTATTATCGGTACATTTTAACATAATACCAAGAATCTATCATTTCTATAAATATAATTATATACAAAATGTATATAATTCATTTTAAGCGAGTACGTATTAAACGATATATGATTTATTACAAAATAAAGAAGGAATTGGCCGGTGACATCTGATTTAATTCGCTATAAATGATAATTCGTTATAAGCGAGTGCGTTATAAGTGGATTCAACTGTATACAAGTCAAAGATCAATAGTATTCTGCAAAATCAAATGGGTATTCAAATTATAACGTTACCCAAAATAAAATCATCACAATTTTAATATCTCAGACATACTTGTAAATACTGTCTTTTTCTAATAACCCTCTCCTTGTTTTCCAAGTAGTCTACGACATAATCGATATTTAAATGATAGTAAAGATATTTTTGGTACATTTTATACATCAGCGAAGCCCACTGTGAACATCATTAAACAACCGGTATCTTCAAGTTTTGCTATACAATGTCAAGTAACTGGATATCCTGCTCCACATATACAATGGGACTTTGTTCCTAAATCGGTAGGTTTGAAATCTTATATATATTCTAAGTTAAAAAATATTTTCATTGTCTATTTTCATTGATTCTTACCAAACCTTTTTTTTTAAATATGAAAATTCCAAGTACATATTGTTAGTATTACTAATCATGATCGTTTGAACACGAATTGGAAAGAAAATAATTATATAAATGAGCCGCGTCACGACAAAGCCAACATAGTGCGTTTGCGACCAGCATGGATCCAGACCAGCGCGGGCCTGCGCATCCGCGCAGTCTAATCAGGATCCATGCTGTTCGCTATCAGTTTCTCTACTGCTTATACGGTTTGTAAGCGAACAGCATGGATCCTGATCAGACTGCGCAAATGCGCAGGCTGGTCTGGATCCATGCTGGTCGCAAAAACACTATGGCGCGGCTCATAAAATTCATCATAATTAGTAGATTGTCACTGAGATATTTCGACATGAAGTGAATGGAAATATTTTTTTCTAAGATTTATTTATCATTCGATGTTAGTCTGGATGAGTAACGTGTCTGCAAACTTTCGGAAAATGCTCTCTATAGTATCTATTCCAGAACCATCATTTTTTATTGTGCAAAATTACCCCAAAACGCTTTTTTTCTCAAATCCGACTGAGAATCCACACGCACGCATGTGCACGCGCACGCACAAGCGCGCGCACACATAAATGATTTTCGATTTAATTCTACTAAGTATATATATTTCTTAATTACCTCTTGCAGATTTTTTTTCAATTTGATATGGTCCATTTAATCTTTGTATATTTTTCAAATTTCATAATTATATGTACCTCAGTGGAGTTTTTTTTAATTCAGTTGCTTCATTACAGACAAAAAATTTTGAGCATTGAATTAATAGTATGCTCTTAACAGTACCGTCCATGAACATGCTCAATCAAACCAAGCCTGCAATATTTTCAATTTGGCCGTTTTATTATGATAAATTTGTATTTTGTTTAGCCTATTAGCCATGGTATCCCTCCAGGTGTCCAGTTTCGAGAGGAGGCCTATAAATCGACACTGGATGTGTCGCATTACAACCCTGTAGACCATGATGGCAGCTGGTATTGTAAGGCAACCAACACAGCAGGAAGCACGGTGTCTGAAGTACACATTCCCTAGGTGTGATTGTTTATGTTCTTAGTCTTGCAATCACCAATAATTTTGAATATTAATAACTTACTAGTCTTGGACATGTGTTATTCCTAATTTCTGGTACGGGTATTACCACATATATTTTACGAGGCCGGGGCCTTATTACTGCACTGGTTATCAACTCCTTTCTTACAAGACTGCAATAACAGGAGATCGGTGATAACTTACAACTCCGAGACGTTATCACGATATACCGATGACCTTCTTGTACGAGATGTATTCGCTGGAACGGTGATACACTCCTACCTAATTAGTCCATGTCATAACCTCTGAACCAGTGATCCTTCTCTAAAAGACCCATTATGCCTTAGAAATGTTTTTTTGTTTTATTTCACATAACATCTTTTTTTTTAATTTTGGTGTACTTTTATAATATCCAAAAAGTTACTCATTGACCAATTACTTGAACCATTTTTTATTTGTTGCTTATTGGCAGCAACTTCACTTATAGTTAATAAGAACTTTTTATGTAAGTCAAAATACTACTTTGTTAACATTTTGCTACTTTTATGAAAAATTATGTCAAATTTATTGTACTTTCTTCGGGGTAACAGGCATCTATAACATTCTCTAAATCCTTTATTTAAACATTATAAAATTCATGTTTGCCCTTTCTTAAGACGTAAAAATTAATTTATTTCTGAGGCCGTCACCACTGGACCGGTGGTACACTACAATCTTATTATTCTGGGGCGTCATATCAGAATATTTACAGGGGAAGCTTGTTTCGCTTCCCCTTATTAAAAATAATACTTATGTTAACTCTATTCTAGATCATTTATTTAAACAACAGTTTACATGACTTTTTAACTGAATTCCTTTCTAATTTTTAGGTTTATTCTTCATTTTTTGTGTAGGGTATAATTTTCTTTTTAAGTTTTAGGTTGGTTTCATTTCTGATTATCAGGGTTAGCCTTAAATTAGGTTATATATCTTGTTTCATTTATAGTTTGAAATTCTATTCTTAATTAACTGTGTATTACTATTTTTTCAGGTAGATTTTATACTTCCTCTCCTGCGACTTTCTCTTATTTTTTATTGTAATGGTACGGTACTGTAAACATTGGAAAATAAAATTGTCAACTAAAATATTGAGTTGATTATTTGAGAAGGTCATTAGACCTCTTTAGTGTTCATCATGATTGCTGGCGGCATCAAATTGTCACGTATTAGGTAATAAAAAGAGCATCGAAGAGCAGTCTAGTGGTCACAAACTAAATGTGGACAGACGATCAACGATCCGAAAAGCTCATTCTGAACCAACTCAGGTGAGCTATTAAGTGTTACCTTCTATATTGGTCGAATGATTCTGTAAGTTTTCTTCTGTGTTAGGACGGCAAAACACACAGAGACAGCAAAATAAAAAATAAAGAATCACAAAGACAGGAGTTACGTTTTTTACCTCAACAACTGTATTTCAAATCTGCAATGTATTCAATAAATATACAAAACCGTCAAAATCATGAAACAAACGATGAATGAGAAAATGCATCAATACACTTATAAAAGTAAATTACCTGCAAAACACACTGAGACAGGAACATAAAAAAGAACCACAAAGACAGGAGTAACATTTTCACTTCAACAACTGTGTTTCAAATCTGCCGTGCGCATGCCTGTCGGTAAATTATGAGCGACAATTTGAGGCCTGTCACCATAGATTGGTTACTATAGTTAGTGTATGATATATAAGGAATGATAATGAGGATATAGGGTAAATACGAGATGAAGAGTGGATGGACAAGGAATAATATATTTATAAGAAATGCACTATATGTCATATATGATATAATTATGGTAAGGTAGAAAATATAGTGACAAATGACCCTGTGACACAAGAATCACAGATATTTGGCGATGCAGTAAAGCATACAATGTGCTTTGAAGCACACGAAACAGAACTCAATGTAATCAATTAGTCAATTGCGTGTTACTTTAATACATTACTGTTTTAAAATTTGTAATCGAGACAAATTGCTCAACAGTTTGCACGTTTGCCTAAATATAATATCCAGGTAACCGTACACCTCTCGGTCCTTTCCT